ACTTCTAGATATAAGAACTTGACAAGTTTTCAGTTTTCTTGTTATAGCATCCTAAAATACTCCCATAGTATTTTAATCTTTATGTTTGGTTCTAGAATTCTTCTGGTACTTAGGTAAGTTTTAGAACTGTTGCAACACTACAATCACTCCCCAAACACATGTTGGTCATATCTCGAATGAATATAGTTGATCAGGCTATATTGATCACATATATGATTACGTCACTGTCTAGGTTTAACTGTAATGTCCAACATCCAAATACTTTTGTTTTGTTCTTCTTGTGATACTCATTCTAGTATATATATTCTGCATGTACTTATACTTTTATAAAATATTGTTATGTTTTTAAAGTATAACTCTTGGTCAGAGTGTTTTTATCCCAATGGGTTTATAGTTGTATATCTTTCATGACTGATATACTGAGTTCACTATAAACACTGCTCTGATACCAATCTGTTACACCCCCAAACCAGAACGGCGGAAACGTTCGGGGGCGGAGGACTTCAGGTAAGTATCACAACGCATGCAATATAGTAATCAAAGTACAAACAACCACTGCATTAATAAGTATAAGTTTTACATAAGTGTTTAAACATTACATATTCAAACACTAAAGTAGGTACAGTAGAAGACAAGAGTCGCGGTACGGTACTAGGTAGTCTTCTCAAAAGCTTCGGGAGTGTACCCGTCTACTGGATTCCTGAGAATACAAGTTATTTTGAAAGAGTAGATCAGCATTTAAGCTGGTGAGTTCATAAGTATTTTAGTTCTGTTAAGTATACCCTAAGTTCTTTGGATAAGTTCACTGGTTCCTCCAGAAAATCCTATATTTCCTGAGGTGATAGATTGATAACCTCAATAGTTTCCCTCTGTAATTACTTAGTTTATACTAATTATATATAACCCAATATCGAATGGACAGTTAAATGGGTGTATCTGCCCTAAGCCCACAACCAAACAAGGAACAGGAAGTAAGGCGGAAGTCACACATTTCACTGTCAATCGGATATTACTTATGTATAACTCTGATGTAAAAACTAAGGAATTATAGAATTAACCACTAAAGGTCCTTTATGTTATACTAGTTTACAGAAAGTGAATGACTAAGTTCCCATTTGTAAAAGTGGTTTAATCCCATAAACCGTTTCATTTGTAAAAGTGGTTTAATCCCATAAACCGTTTCCTTTGTAAAAGTGTTTTAATCCCATAAACTGTTTCCTTTGTAAAAGTAGTTTAATTCCATAAAACGTTTCATTTGTAAAAGTGGTTTAATCCCATAAACCATTTCATTTGTAAAAGTATTCTTAGTTATATCCGTTTTACAGTAAAACCTTAGCATTAATCCTGGAAAATATTATATTATCCATAATACTGCCTTGTGTTTTTAAATGTTCCAAAACCAGAAGTACAAGTATATTCACCATACTTGATTTCATGATACGTACTAACAGAAGGTATATTTGGTCGGGATGTAATTATCTTTTCTTACTGTTTTAAGAGAAGTATATTACTTAGTAATTTACTCGTTGTTTTATCCATGTGAGTTCTATTAACCATACTAATATGACTGATATGCCTGCTGCGACGTTCTTCAGGCGTCGGAAATGATATGATATTTGACACCCTAGTCCTGCCAGCCAAACTATAGCGAACAGTAAAGGTGCGGGATTGTCAGTCCCATATAGATCTATACAAAAACTCACGCTCTCCCTACAAGAGATTCTGGTTAATAAGTCAGGACTTAAAGTCGTACTTAGATAAGTACACCATGAAGAGTCTCACAAATTTATTGTTTCAACGAGATTTACGATGTATTATTACCCCGTGATTGCTAACCCTGGTACTCTGTATCGTACCCTTATTAATGCAAACTCGGTATGATGTATTATTACCCCGTGATTGCTAACCCTGGTACGTTGTATTTGTACCTTTGTTAATGCAAACCCGGTATGATGTATTATTACCCCGTGATTGCTAACCCTGGTACGTTGTATTTGTACCTTTGTTAATGCAAACCCGGTATGATGTATTATTACCCCGTGTTTGCTAACCCTGGTACTCTGTATTGTACCTTTGTTAATGCAAACCCGATATGATGTATTATTACTTCTTTAATATGTTGTTCATATATTAAAGGTATTATACATATCCTGGTATAGTTAAAGGAATTTTGGTAATTTCCTTGGAAAGTATACAATCGTGAATCATACTTGTATATTTAGTTCTGAATCATAAATTATACCTATTATAATTTATATGTTCTATCTGATTAGCATGATTTCTCATGGATGAACACCTTTGCCCAGCATGATACAAAGGTAATGATACCGAAAGGAGTAACCTTTTATACTCATATATGTATAATATATATATATATATATATATATATATATATATATATATATATATATATATAATATATATATATAACTAAGAAGGAAACGACCTTCGGACAAATAACACAACCTTAATTCCACATCCAAACAAGGAAAAGGAAATAAGATAATTTATTAGTCCTAAGCCCTTCAAATCTTATTTATATATTTATACATATATAAACATGATTTTGGCATTTATAATTTGAAATAGTTTATAAACATTTTCAAAGAATTTAACGGAGTTTACATGACTTTAAAGATTTAACATGGCTTTAAGTCATTTTGGAAGTATTTGGTAATCCTTAAAAACATAAGGAAAGCCTTTGTGTGATTATTATCACATACAATTATTAACACAATTTTAAATTGTGTTCAACTTGTATTCCCCCCCTAAAAAGCATTTAAAAACCATTAAAAAGGTAAATTATAGGGGTATGAACTCACTTTGATGAGTGGTGATTCGGGCAGCGTTTCGTTTCTATAGATGATCTTTCTCGAAGAAACCGCGAGTTTTTGAGTAAAAACCGGCTTTATGCGGGCAACACTTCGACTGGAAAGAGATTATCTTCTTGAGAATTCCGGGGCTCCGGGGCTTGCTTCGGGTTTTAGACACGATACCGGGGCCTTGGGAGTTGTTTGTGAAGTTTTGGAAGTGAAAGGGGTGGAAGTGTGTGAAAATTGGTGTGAAAAAGGTGAAAAATTCGGAGGGTCTCGCACCTCTTATATACACCGAAGCCTCGGATCCGAAGCTGTGGGAGGCTGCCGCGTGTTGGGACAGGTGGCGAAGGGAGGAGGCTGCTTCGGATAGGTGACTCGCAGGTGGTGGCTTCGGACTGGACCCAACTTCGGTCCAATGGAAAGGCGCCACGAAGGTCCGAGGGGTGTCCGGGGGTGTCTCATGCGAGGGTGTCGGCTCCTTAGTGGACCTCGGCTGCGGTCCAATCAAAATGCGACACGGTCAACTGCGGTCCAACCAGAAGATGACACGTGCAGGCTCGCATGCAAGGGTGACGTGTCCGAAGATCACCCATGCGAAATTGCCCGGTTTTCAATATTTCTTGATTTTTGAGCCAAAAACTTGCGAAAATCATAACTTTCGCATACGAGCTCCGTTTTTGGCATTCTTTATATGCACGCGTAGGTAAAGTTATACTCTACGACTTTCGTTTAGACTTCGTCGGCTAATTTTGACTTTATTTTTAATATTATTATATTTAACAGACCGGGATAGGAAATTCGTTAAAAATTCATAACTTCTTCATCCGACGTCCGTTTTCGTCTGTCTTTTTACCATTGTACTACTTTTGTTGAGACCTTCGATTCTCGTTTAAGTTGTGTCTGCTAAATATCGATCGATTTATATTTCGAATTTTTAGCTGTCTACTGCTAAACCGAAACTTAGAAAAATCATAACTTCCTCATACGAAGTCAGATTTTTACGTTCTTTTTTATGAACGTTCTCGGTTTAACATATTCTACAACTTTCATTTAGATTGTTAAGGCTAAAAAGCCTTTTATCGAAAACTCACTTTTTACACTGAACAGTGTTTTGCCGGTTTGTTGTGGATTTTCGATTGGTCATAACTTCTTCGTTATAACTCGGATTTCAATGTTCTTTATATTTTTGGAAACCTTGTTACAATCTCTACCACTTTGTTCATCCCAATTACAATTATTGATTAATTTATTTTTGACCAAAATTTGACTGGTGTCACAATGATGTGGCCACCGAGCAACCAAAGTAAGGCAGATTCCTATGTCACAGAACTTCTGTGATGGATCTCTTGCAAACATGCTTTACTGGGTGTATGATGAAACCATTGAGACTGCTATCATTAAGTTTCAAGATGGTTGCTTTCGCCTATTCGACAAAAGAGACCTACTTCAATTCGGAAGGTGGGATATTCATCATTTGGCACAACATCAGATCAAAGTGGCTGAAGAGATCTTCAAGAGTGCTGCTAAAGAATATATGTCAATGGTTGTGGAGATCATCACAAAAGAGATGTGGCGTGGTGCGATTGGGGGGGGGGGGTCCGAAGTGCTTATCGTTGAAAAAGACTGAGTCAATGCTAGCCTCAAACCAAGGGGGAGATTGAAGGGTCCAGTTTATGGTGTGGGCTAGGCTATCTGATGTATAGGTCTTAGTGGGTCTTTTATCATGTAATAATGTTGTTTGGATGTGTTTACGACCTGTTGTCTGTTTACGGCCAGCCTTTCCCCTATATATAAACGTGTGCAAAGCTTGGTTTAACCTTCTTCTACTCCATTCTAATCTTGTTTGATTGTTGTTTGATTGATCACTGGTTCGGATCCTAGTTTTAGGGCCTTACAATGTTACAATTTTTTATATAAATTATCGTCTAAAAATGTAGTTAAAAATTATATTTAACGAATGTTACCGAAGAAATTAACCACCCAGCGTGAGTAACTGCAAGTAACCTCGACCAAAACTCCGCATCCAGTGTGAGCATTTGCAGCCTATGTTTAGTGTTTAGATTGGAAGAGATCGTATTCCATTCTCTCCAAAAACTCAACGCACTGGCAGCTTCAAGACTGTCGAGCAGGAGATGATTTGAAACATCATTACTCTCTTTATTCACAATGTCTTTATTTGCTTTTTCAGGACTCTCCACTACTATTTTTCTTTGCTTTGGTGATTTTCTTCAATTTTGGTGTGGATTGCAACTAAAAAATTAACATGTTAAATAATTATCAATACGTTAATATTTTAAAAATATACCAAATTTAAAATATGAGTTTTGTACCACTATGAACGGAGTCCGCTGATACCATGGAACACCCCTCTTTCGTTGCGGCCTAACAATAGGAGTCATTTCTTTTGTGTGATGTTCACCCACTTCCGATGACGGCTCAACATGCATAGGTGTAGGCCCAAATTCCACCTCCAAACTATGAGTACCTATATCATCATAGTGCAAATGTGTATCATGGTAATATTTTTCTTCCTCCTCTTCATTTATCATCTCCTCCTCCTCCTCCTCCTCTTCCTCTCGAAACCCTCTGTCTTGTTCAACATTTCTGTCTGGTTCATCTTTTTTCTATAATACACGATCTACTTTAGAAGTTAAGTCAGCCACAACGCCTAGTAGACGCTTCACTAATGCCTTTGTGCTCGTCTTCTTCTTCTTTACCAACCTTGATGTGCTCGTCTTCTTCTTCTTTACCAACCTTGAGGAAAGCATTTGTGCCAGATTCAGTCGAAGATGTTTCTATTTCGGACTTGTACATCTTTCTTCGAGCCGGCGATGCAACAACAGGTGGACTATTTCGGACCGGACTATGTTGCCGTGGGGGAAAATCTACAGGGTTTAGAGTCCAATTGACAGAGCAAACATAAAACGGCAACATCAGCTCCTCTGGGTTTGCCACGACATTAATAGGTTGGTTGTTAGGCTGCAGAAATCAGATTGTTAGTTTAACATGAAAATACATTGGAATTTGTAACTATAGATGATCGTTAATATAAAAAGCATACCACAGACACATTGATTATTCGACAACATCGAACCCAAGATAACGATGTTTTACTTCTCCACGTCCTCATTCGTGGCAATTCTTTCGGCGTGCGTATATAAAACTGGGTTGCCTCAGGGAACGTCTCCAAAATCCATATCTATGAAAAAAATGTAAGTATCATGCTATTATACTATAAAAGTCATAATACAAACTTATTATATAATACAAACCGAAGTTCAAAGTTTTTATAGTATAAAAAACTAAACATTGATAACTATTTAATGAATTAGAAAGTAACCTTAAACGGAAGCATAAAATCGGGAACGGTATACTTGTGTACTTTCTTGGATTCGGGATTGGCCTGCTTCAATAGTCTAAACTCTTCTATTTTCTTAAACATTCCAAGCATCAAACGCAAAGTATAGGTCCAGAAATACGTACCCTATGCAAACCTGCAATTTTCAATTTATTTATTATAATTATTATTATTGCATTGCATTTATACACAATCTTTAAATGTAATACCTGTTCCAATCATCTTTATTATCAGCAAGCTTGTATACTGTTGCGGAAATGTCCGTGGAGACCCTTCAACATAAAAACAAGTTGGATAAGCATCACAACATCTTCATCTTGTAGTGCCAAATAATTCGGGGACATAATCAAGTCTTCTAAATCTTTCAGCCGCAAACGTGCATCAGAAATATCTGGGAACAACCGAGCACGAAGATTTGAATCTGACCGGCCTTTTTCGTCGTGGAGTAAATCCACATAAGGACCAACTTTTAAACCACAAATGAGAATATATTCAGTTTCACCAAAATCCAAATGCGTCCATTGTATATCAAAAAGAAACCTCTACATTTCAAATACTTGTTGACACCTTACTCCGTGCAACATCATCAAATGCACAAGTAACGGATCACCATGTGGGATATGCATTCCTAAGAATACTCCGAACGGCGAAGCTTCGAATAATTGTCGTTGTGATTGTGTTAGGCGCGGAAAATAGTCTTTAATGATAGTACCCACCACACCTTTTAAAGTTAAATCCGCTTTTTGATTGAGATCTTCGTGCTGCAAAACATAATATTTAATTTCATATAAAAGGGCAAAAAAAACGGCAGAAAAAAAAATTAGAAAAATCAGTTTCAGGTCATTCCGCAGAGAACCCTCTGCGGATTGACCAATACCTCCGCGGAGGCCCAATTTTATTCCATCTTAGCATTCCGTGGAGAAAATGCATCACTCCGCGGAGGGTCCTCTGCGGACTGACGTAACCCTCCGCGGAGTGACATACACCTCTGCGGAATGGATCATACCCAATCCGAAACCTGTCAAACTCGATTTCATCTAAATCTGTATATTTTACCTATATATTCCATGTAATCAAATCGGTTTCGACAAATTTCATACATATACTACATTAATTCAAAGAAAGGAATGTGAGAAATACCCGGGAGCCAAATCCGTGGGCCAAAATATCGGGGAAATTGCCCTCCATAACTGTCGGAATTTAAGTTCGAAATTTAAGTCGTATGTAATCGATGTCGCCGGAAAATAACGTCGTGGTCGCCGGATTTGATGTCGGTGTCGCCGGAATCGTCGGTGGTAAGTCGATGCGGAGGATTGACTTTGTCAAAGAGGATTCGGAGGACCATTGGGGGGACCAAAGAGGAGGCTTCAATTTTGTCAAAAAGAAGATGGTGAAATGACAAAAATACCCTTCTCCGCAGAGGAAACTTCGATCCGCGGAGGTCCGCGGAGGGCCTTCCGCGGAATTCATGTCGATAGCCGGAAAAGTCATTTTTTATGACCAAATTTTAAAATTGCCCCCATTTTTTTGTCTATCGGCGGTATTTTCCCTCTATTTAATGGGAAGCTTCATGCTGAGTTACATTTTCATGCCATTACGTAGAAAAGAACAATGTCGTTTACCCTTTCGAAATTTCATATATCCACAACGGTTTCTACACGACACCGTGCCATAAACGTTTCTTCAAAAGATTACAAAAAAGAAAGACTTATTACATTCACAATTGCTAAATGCCATTTAACTTGGTGCTATATAAACTGAGACGTGATCTATACACCCCTCGTCTAATTATCACCATTTTACCAACAGATTTGAGTGCTGTGAGCAAGAAGAAAGAGATGATGGGGGATATGACTCATTTAGGGTCTCTAATGGCTGCCGTAATGTTCGTTTGGGCAATATTCGGGCAACTGTTTCCAGAAAAGTTCCAAAGCGATGTCATGAAATACGTTAACAAAGTGGTTAGCTATGTGTACCCTTATGTCGAAATCACTTTTCATGAATACCAAGCAGACAGCTGGTTCGAGCGAAGCAAAGCCTTTGTTTCCATTGAACGTTACCTCAGCACCAACTCCTCCAACAGAGCCAAACGGCTAAAGGCAAACGTGGTCAAAGACTGTGAATCCGTCGTCCTGAGTATGGACGACTACGAAGAGGTCACAGACGAGTTCAGAGGCATCAAGATCTGGTGGACGTCGAGTAAAAGCATCCCAAAACAGCAGGCATTCTTTTCCTATCGAGGTGATGAGGAGAAGCGGTATTTTAGGCTCACATGTAAAAGAGAACACCGAGATATCATCACTAAAGTTTACTTGCAGCATGTACTTGATGAAGGAAAGGCTATTGCAGTGAGAACAAGGCAACGAAAGCTCTATAGTAACAACAAGAGTGAGAACTGGTCTGGTTACAGGAGGAATATGTGGAGCCACATCATATTCGAGCACCCTTCCACATTCGACACTCTTGCAATGGACCCGAAAAAGAAGAAGGAGATTTTAGATGATCTTATGATGTTCAGCAAGTCGAAAGACTACTACAAGAAGGTGGGCAAGTCATGGAAGCGAGGATATCTTCTTTATGGCCCACCAGGAACTGGAAAGTCTAGCATGATTGCTGCCATGGCTAACCTTCTGGAATACGACATCTATGATCTTGAATTAACCTCCGTGAAAGATAACACGGACTTGAGGAAGCTACTCATCGACACATCAAGTAAGTCTATAATTGTGATTGAGGACATCGACTGTTCACTTGATTTAACTGGTCGGCGAAAGGAGAAAAAAGAAGAGAGTAAAGAGGAGGAGAAGGATCCAGTTCGCAAGGCCGAGGAGGAGAAGGATAAGAAGAATAAGGGAAGTGAAGTGACTTTATCTGGGCTTTTGAACTTCATTGATGGCCTATGGTCGGCTTGTGGGAGTGAGAGACTGATCGTGTTCACAACAAACTTTGTTGAAAAGCTTGACCCTGCTCTGATTAGGAGAGGAAGGATGGATAAGCATATCGAGCTTTCCTATTGTTGTTTTGAAACATTCAAGGTGCTTGCAAAGAACTATTTGGATCTTGAATCTCACGAGCTGTTTTCAACCATCAGTCGACTGTTGGAGGAGACTAAGATGACTCCAGCTGATGTTGCCGAAAATTTGATGCCAAAGTCTTTTGAAGAGAATGCTGAGAGTTGCTTGAACAAGTTGATCCAATCTCTGGAGAATGCAAAAGAAGAAGCAAGGCTGAAAGCTGTGGAGGATGCCAGGATCCAAGCTGAGGAAGAGGCGGCTAAAAAGATTGAACAAAATGATGAGAAGGTACAAGAGAGTGATGCAAAGTTAGGTGATGGAGAAGGAAAGAAGGCTGACCAGGATACTGACATTGTACAAGTTGCCGATGCAAAAGAGAACGGTGTCTTGACTGAATAGTATAGTATGGCCCACGATAGCTGTCAGCTTTGTTAATTGTATCTCTGCATTGCTCTATCCTTTTCGTTTGGTTGAAACTTTTATTGCATTTGTAGTTTTCACTTACTAGTACTCAATTGAAATTAGTCAAAAGTCAAGTGTGGTCGGTGTTTGAAGACATGAATCAAATTTAAACTATATACTATTATATTTAGATTTCATGCATTGTGTCGGTGAATGTATTAATTAACTATATATTAATTTGTAATGTGCATGGGAGTGACTACATTGCAATCCCAAAATGATATTTTTTATTCTTATTTTTAAAGTATTGATATTATTTATCACCTGTCTATTTTTTTCATAAAATATCATCCTCACCTCTATTATTTTGTAGATTTTTTTTATATCCCGTAGTACACATAATTTGATTTTTCTTAACAATTTTTATTCGTTAACTAAATAAAAAAATTATTTATTTATTTTTATTTATGTGTTGATATAAATTTGCAATGATCAACATTTCGATATAAATTTGTCACTTCCGTTCGTTAATTATATATAAAAAAACAAAACTTTACTTGTTGTTTGATATACATGTGTATAAATTCAAGTTTGCAATCTTCACTACAAAAAAAAAGACTCATGTGCCGACAACTTCTATGTCGACGACATCAGTCGTCGCTATAGCTTAAGCTATCCCAACAACATGTTGCAGGTATAGGGTTGCCCAATTTTTTTTGACTAGTGTATCTATGCCGACAACTTGTTGACGACATAACTTAGGCGGGAACGAAAAGGGTTTGTGTTGTTTTCTGAAAACTTATGCCGACGACATGTCGTCACTATTGATAACAAAATATAATTTCTATTTATTTATAATTCATGTTGCAAAAAAAAGTAGACAAAATTGCAAAAATGATCCCTATTGTATGTATTTTTTCGGGTTTTGGTGCAAACCCCAACTTTTTTGAACTGGTGATTATTTTGAACTAGTTTCATTGCGTATTAGAGCATCTGAATATTGAAATGATTGGTATGCCCTTGTATTTATTTCCCATTTTCTAAAAAGATTTAATACTTATTAAATAGTTTATGTAATTAAAAATAAAAGGACCCATCTCTCTCTCTCTCTCTCTCTCTCTCTCTCTCTCTCTCTCTCTCTCTCTCTCTCTCTCTCTCTCTCTCTCTCTCTCTCTCTCTCTCTCTCTCTCTCTCTCTCTCTCTCTCTCGGAACCTGCAACTTAAATCTATGGAGCTTTCTAAGTCTTTATTGTGTATCTAATTTCCCATTTATCACTCTAAAACACAAAGAGCAAACTTTTCAATCAAGTATTCTTTGGTCAAATCAAGAACCCCAGGGCTAAATACAGATCAATTGTCATACACAATAAGAACAAGGGCAAATGTCATTTTAACACAACGAACCTGTCACGTTTGTTTTAAAAGGTCACTTAATTTTTTTTTTTTTTGCACATTAAGGGAACGAAGTCTGAATTTACCTTTTTAAATGGTCCTTATTTAACTTGATACCGGATAGTCCGGTCAAATGTGATGATGTATGTTTGATAAATGGGATTAATACTTAAGAGGTGGCAAAATTATTCTTTCAAGCATTTTGTCGAACACCTTCTATGCATTGCTTATCTCCTCTTTTTTTGTTTTTCCAACATGTTTAGTAAATTTCCAAAAATTAATGCATGTGCATCCATCCTCTCTTCATAATTCAGAAAATAAAGGAAAACGAGATTGAGAAGATTGGATGAGTGATGTTGATAGACTCAGTTTCCGATTTTCCAATGAAGCTTCATTGGAAAATGGGTCTCGAAGAAAATTCAGAACAAGTTCTATATGTTTTCAATTGTTACCAAATGTCTTCAACATGGTACAAGATATCAAATCCTTATCTGCTTGTATGGTTCTCTGTAAACGTTCGTTTCAGACTTCATTATGCTTTTTTGGAAGATTCATTATGAAACACAAAGTAAAGACGCATACAAACATTTACAAAATAAAGACAAAGTATGATTTCAAAATAAAGACGCATACAAACAAATCAAAAGCTTTTTTGGAAGATTCATTATGAATTCGATTCAATCGCTTTTACATCGTATGTTCTCAAGGAAATTTAAGGCATCTTCCTACTGTAATCCGATGATGAAGACACCACATGTAGATTGCCTAATGACTAGCAATCATAGCCACAATGGTGGCAACCACAAACGAGAAATCAATCTGTATTGACGGAACATAGAAATGCCCTATATCGGCAAACATCCGCTAAATCGACCAGGCCTTGACGGAATTCTTTTTGAAGAACAGGTAAATGTAAATGGCGTTAATCGCCTTCACTGATACATCACATTTGATTATGTAGTATAATCCAATCGATCCAAGATTAAAGAATCACAAACGAGATATGATATGTCACAACTAGCATTTTGGCTAGGAAATTCCGTCCTCATGAAAGCAATAACTATTGTGAGACTTGTGCTAACACATTTAAGTGTACAATATGAGTTCCTAATGAGTCATGTAGTGTTAGAATGCAAATCTCTCCAAGTATATCGAATATCTCCCAAATCTCTCCAAGAATATGAAATCTCTCCCAAATCTCTCCAAGAATATGAAATCTCTCCAAGTAAATCGAATCTCTCCCAAATCTCTCCAGGTATGTGAAATCTCTCCAAGAATATGAAATCTCTCCCAAATCTCTCCAAGAATATGAAATCTCTCCAAGTAAATCGAATCTCTCCCAAATCTCTCCAAGTATGTGAAATCTCTCCCAAATCTCTCCACGTATCTCAAATCTCTCTATGTACCTTCCTCAGTCGAAAACAGCTCAAAACTGAAGGAGAAAACCCAAAAGGACCCTCTTGGTCCGGAACCCTCTTGGTCCTGAACCTCTTGGCCGGAAGCCTCTTGGTCCGGAATGCCTTCTAAGGAACCAAGAGGAGTCGCATCTCCGGAACCCTTCTTGCTTCGGATCTCGCATGCCTCAGAAAGTTGACTCTGGAATAAGCCTCTCATCCGGACACTTCAGTTGCTTCGGAATCTCCTGGTCAGCCTCGCACCTTCGGTCCGGACTGATGGCTGCGCTCCGGACTTCGCATGAACCTTGGATCCGAGAAGAACACTTCGGACCTCGCCTATTGACTCCGGAACTTCGAGAATGACTCCGGAATTGTGGAATTGATTTCGGACCCTCGCAGGCTCCGGACTCCACTCCGGATTTTTGTCCATTTCAGACTTTTTCGTCATTTTAAGGCATTTTGACGTTGGAAATCATTCCAAACTCGTATTTTTCATATCCTAGACCCCTTAGACCCCCATTTTATGCCAAAATTTATTATTTTAAATATATTTATATAAAATAATACCCAAGGTTTTTATGAATGGATTCTAAGAGGATAAGGAGTTTGACTTGATGTAAATTCCACATTTCCCATGCAAATCCCAGTAATCTATGCATTAACCCTTAGTCATAGACATTACCCACCAGTACTCCAAGCAAATGTCAAATTACTCCTTATCTTCCCTTATTGAAAACGTGAACTACTCTCTCACTTCTCATATCCATATTCAGTAAACTCCTAAGAATACTCTCAACTCATTCAAGCTTCAAGCCTCATTCCTTCAAGGAAAAATTCCCAGATTTCTTTTGTAAGTGTTTCATCTTCTTTGACTAGTGATTCTCCCCATTATTCCTAAGATTTCAATATATTTACACATAAAATTATTCTTAGGATATTCTAAAGTTCAAAGAAACTTTTCAAGTGTTGGAACTTGGAAGCTCCTTAACACTTCTCCAAATCACCCACAAAACTAACTCAAGGTGAGCTTCATACCCCTACTTTTTCGAGATTTCTATTATTTTTGGGGGAGAATACAAGTCAAAGTCTTGTGTAAATCATGATCTATTTGCTTTTTGTGTATGCATGCCATCTTACATGTGCTTAAGTATGAAAACCCTTATAAATAGTCCAAAAACTCGAGATTTTGGTTAAGTCTCAAGAGTTTGGATTATATCTCACAAATCACGTTTGGAAACAAGAACTAGTATCTTACCAAGTATAAGTCATGAATTTTGATAGCAACAACTATAAGGATTTGCTTCAATATTTGCTTAAACAAGTTGTTGGACAAAATATTTTGAAAATGATTAAAGTATGGAAATAATAATATTTTGGATCATTTTTGGCCAAACACAAATAGAAGGGTTATCTTGGAATATTATGTCATACTCATGACTTTTTACCAGATTAACAAACTATTTGTGATTATTTATAATTATTTAATATAAATAATTTTATCAAGAAAAGTATACGAAAACAGAGTTTTCATCATAAAAATATTTACATGTCATAACCTGCAGTCATAAATTATAACTTGACACTTTTCTCTTGACTAACATGGGCCTGAGCCGACAATTCATAGAAAGGAAAGTCCATTTTGTCAATTCCGATAATGTTGGGTCATTTTGTTAAACGTTCAAAATGGCTTATTTTTCAATAAACGAAACGGAACGAACACGAGCACCCAGTTAACCAACACAATAAACGATATGGAACGAGAACGATATTTATATTCAGTGAGTACGAAATTCATTATTTATCTAACGAATAATGGATCTCAAGCGATTTCTCAAAAGGTTGTTAATATTCTAGTCAGACAAATCTCAAAAGTACCTAAATATTAAAATATTAGTGTACGTCCAAAGTCCTGTAAGGAGTTATAGCCAAAGTCTCCTGGAGGGAGAGCGAGAATTTGTGTATAGATATATACGGGGTTGACACCCCGCACCTTCGATGTTCGCTACAGCTAGACCGGCCAGTCTAGGGTGACAAATGTCTTTATAAAAACGAGGGCGCCTGGGAAACGCCAAAACATGCATTCCGTCAAGATTAGTATGGTTATAACGACTCACTAGAATATGTTATGTTATCTAGAAATTTATGCAAGGAAAAACCTCATAAATAAATTTTGGCACGTTGTGTTGACTGTCCTATACTTGATAAGTG